CATTGGAAGTGATGGCCCTCGAAGGTGAACCTCAGATACTTCCGATGATCTGGGTGAATCGGAATGTGAAGGTATGCGTATTGAAGATCGAGGGATATGATGAAATCCCCTTTCTTCAGAATTGAGCGTAGAAGACTGACTGATATCATTCGAAAGTGAGGTGGCTGTTGAAGGAAACGAGCGTTGAATGTCTTCATATTGAAGATGAGATGCAACTTGCTGGAGTTTTTCTTTGGCACAAGAAAAATCGGGGAGTAAAACCCTGGAGTTATGCACACCGGATCGAGGCGTTCTATCGCATGTTTCTCCAGCAAAGTTGAGATTGTGGACGAAAGGACTGCAGCTTGATCCTGAGGATACATTCGCTGGAAAGGTTGAATGGTTCCCCGACAACAGGCATTCGATAGCCGTGAATGAGAGTCATTGTGACAAATGGATCTCCTAGAAACTCCCAGTTGGGAGCAAACAGACCTAACCTCCCGCCTACAGGGGAATCGAACACCGGAACCGCCGGAACCGGCAGAACCAATCCGAGCTCTGATTTCCGTGAGTCACTGTTTGGAATTTTTATTTCCAGTTGCAGCGTCGGGTCGAATGGGGCGACGTGAACCACGAAAAGGCTTCCTGCCCCTGCCTCGTGCTTGAGAAGACGCCTTGCCTTTCATACAGTCACGAAGGTCTGGGTTGGAAGGGGTAAAGTGTGGGGTTTGACGATGCCGCATAGAGTCTTGAAGTTGAATTTTTTGCAACTCCAACAAATCTACAGATACTTGAAATTGGTTAAGACGGTCCACCTTGGATGCGACTTCTGCAATAGACCCACTGAACACCGTATCCCCCGACCATGGTTGATGAAACAAATCAGCCTTGAATCTATCTTCCCATGAGGATAAATTCAAAGGGCTCCGACGTCGTATGGCAAGTAGATAGCCAAAGAAATGAGACAGTTGCCCCAAGACCACCTGGAATTGGTCCAAAATCAGAGCCATACTTCCCCTAATGTACGCGTCCTGGTCCATATAGGCATGATTGACAGCCGCCGCCACAGCGTCAACAGCCGAAATGATGCAGCTAATGGAAGGGATAGAATGCCGAACCGTAGTATCTAAGTGAGCCAATCCCCTGTCTTCCACAAAAAACGGCGAACTGGAACGCTTGCCACAGACCATGGAAATGTCATCATCAACTGACGGTGCCGCTGACCAAAGTTGAACACCATGAGTATGTGCCGTCGATGGTCGGAACCTTGGAGCAGACAAACCATCCTTCGTCCTTCTAAGCTTGTTGAAAGCCACATCACGAGAAGAAGGTAATTGTTGAAGACATGGACGCAAAGGAAGTGTGATACTGGAAATATCTCTATTAGTCACGGCATAAGACGTGGCCAAATCATCTGGAGATTTACTAAGAGGTAGCTGAAGTTTTTCAACTTTCCAGGCTAGCACGTGAGCCGGTTCAACAACATCAAAACTGCCATCAGGAGTGGACATGTCCGACTGCCCAGGTGAAGGTAAAGGAGTCTGAGACCGAGTCCGATCCCTCGAATCCACAGAACGATTATTGCTAGGTATGGCAGACGATTGTTGAACATGTGAGGACGAACGACACTGATTCCAAGCCGATGTAATGGCACGAAGCATGGTGTCTAAATCCGGCGCTGGAGAGGAATCAAGTGCAGGATTCCAAGCCTCAGCAATAACCTGTGACCGAGGCAAAGTAGAAGTGGTATGGCGTGAAGGTGAACGCTGATCCACTGAAGCATAACGCTGCCTAGCAGGTGAAACCACCCGCACAGAACGACGTTGATTAGGGGTACTATCATGTAAAGGCACTGACCGCAAGTGCTCACTAACCCTAGACTGACTAGACGGGATATTCTGATTCACCTGAGGTGAATGAGACCGACTTCTAGAATCCCTCTGACGAAAAGACACCATACGGCTAGGTGAACCGGATTGAAAAGGCGAACCACTTCGACTAGGTGAGCCTGCAGACTACGGGAATCAAAACGCTGTGGTGAATTGATTCAACTATGAGATGGTGAGTCGAACTGAGACACATGTTGAGGTGAATTGAGTCGGGAATGTGAACCTGTTCATCCTGGTGAACCCATTCGATTACGTGAATCACTTCGGTCAGGTGAACCCATTCGATTACATGAATCAGTTCGGTCAGGTGAACCCATTCGAGTAAGTGAAACAGTTCGGTCAGGTGAACCCATTCGATTATGTGAAGCAGTTCAGTCAGGTGAACCCATTCGATCACGTGAAGCAGTTCGGTCAGGTGAACCCATTCGAGTACGTGAATCAGTTCGGTCAGGTGAACCCATTCGATCACGTGAATCAGTTCGGTCAGGTGAACCCATTCGATCACGTGAATCAGTTCGGTCAGGTGAACCCATTCGATTACGGTCTGGTGAGCCGGCTCGGCAGGGTGAACCGGCTCGGCAAAGTGAGCCGGCTCGGGAATGTGAACCGGTTCTTCCTGGTGAACCCGTTGGATTACGTGAATCAGTTCGGTCAGGTGAGCTGGTTCGGCTGAGTGAACTCAATCGACCTTTGGCTGCACGGCTAGGTGGTGAAACGAATCGCGGTGGGTATCGGTTGGGACTGGTACATTGGAAGGACGACAAGAGCTCGAGCGTGAACGAGATCTAGAACGACTCCTCCCAGCAGTAGAAGAACGCATTCGAACCTTCGCACCAGATGGTGACTCAACTCATGTAGGTGAATTGTTTCGGTGGGATGAAACCGTAGGAATAGGAGAACGGTTACGTTCCAATGATGAATGCTTGAACTTAGAAGTTCTCGAAGTCTGTGAACGTTCCGAAGAAACGGATCTACGAGATAAGGTAGATCGCAGGTCTTGCGTAGAGGAAATATCAGTCATTACCACCCTTGCATGCCCATGAGAACTTAAACTAGGTGAGGGAAGCGCCCTAAAAAGCCTTTTAACGTTCTCAGACAAATAGGAATCCGACGAAGCGTCCATAAAATCCTCGTCAAGAGAGACGGGCGATTTAGAACGGTGAGCAGGGAGGGTGGGGCGATCTAAACATTGTTTCTTAGCGGGAGATGGACCAAACCCCGCAGAAGCATTCCTAGCCCTATCTGCCAAACGTCTGGCACAAACATGTTTGTAAGAATTAAAAGCCTCATTAGACAGTCCTGAACACTTAGGACAACGTGTGTCCCAATCACAACAACCCACACAATCAACACATGACGTGTGTGGGTCCCAAGCTGAAAAGACTTTATTACAACGGGCGCAAAACTTTCGTTTACTGGCTTGAACAGGCTTATCCATTTTGAGCAATTCTCAGACGAAAACATTTCCATGTCCACTCTGTGGAGCAACAAGAAAGAGAATGAGTATGTGAGGTGATCACTTGGGTGAGGACTTCACATGCCTCGTGCTTTCACGGACTAGTGACCATGGCTGAGGCAGGAAGGCAGGCACAGCACGGGGACAGGGACAAGGTAGGCCTGGAGCAAAGTTTTAAGTCGTTTCCACTCATGGACGAATGAAGAGAGAGAGGTGCAAGTCGTGAGATAGGATAAGTTTAAAAATAAAGTCATTTCCAGGAAAATGCCTGGCTACAATAGGCCACGAGTTGGAATTGACAATGTCAACATATTTAACTGCATTAATGTTACCATCCACAGCCACAAGCGTTCCTACACCGTAAAATGTAAACCCCAGATCATAACTTTGACCTTACGTCCAGTTGGTGGACATACACATTCTGGCCTATACTTTTTGTCATGCTTTTCTCCACAAATAAATTCTTTTATTTTCACCAATTGAGAAAATAACAGTTCGCCAAAAGTTCTCAACAGTTGTGTTTCTCATTTTACGACACCAAATTCTCTGTTTTTTCGATTTACGTCTTTCACCACCATTTTCTTTTTTGCAATGCATCTAAAATAACCATTTGTTTGCAAAACATGTTGTACAGTTCATGTGGACACAGACACTGCTTTACCAGTGTTAAATTCACTTGTAATGTCCTTCAAAGTCTTTCTACGATTCTTTTTTGTGATCTGCAAAATAGCGGCACAATCCCAGTCATCCAGTAATTTTTCTCTTTGGACAACCACGATGATTTATGACTGAGCCTGTCGTTTGAAACTTCTTCAAAATAGATTGAACAGTAGGCCTGGCTATGTCTAATAATTCACCAATTTTCCAAAAACACTTGATGCATTCTGATATAATTTTACAATACTTTCCTTCACGCCACTTGCTAATTCTTGCTTTTTTGCCCCATTGACTAAACGTGGATGTGTAGTCAATGTAAACAAGCAGACGACACTTCCACAGGATCACGTGACAAAGTTTGTGTCAAGGGAGATAATCTCAAAGAGGGTCATTTCTACTGGTGCTGTAACGCTTTTTTACGGGTGCCTCAATGATTACCAATACAACACGTCACGCTATGGAACCCAGAAGTGTCCGAATATACTTGGCACAAGTCTGTACATGTACAGATATGAAAATAGAATGTGACATAACTTTTTTAAGTTTCCAACATCTGAACTGCTCTGTAATCTTCAACAAGTTTAATTCATGTCCAAGATATTTTTATGGATTAAACTTCTTTATAATTTCCCTCGATGCGTTTGAGACCATTCCAGGTCCCTTCATCCAGATCACCTGATGAAGGGACCTGGAATGGTCTCGAAACGTGATGAAGGGACCTGGAATGGTCTCGAAACGTCGTGAGGAAAATTATGAAGAAGTTTAATCCATAAAAATATCTTGGACATCAATGTACAACTTCTAAATGCCACTGAAAGACATCAAGTTTAATTCAGGTGAGCTAAAAATTCAAATTAACTTTGCTGATAAATTTGAACTCTGTTGTTCTGTAAACCACACTACAATAACATTTAACTTCTTTCAGAGGCATTGTCCATATAATACTGGTTCTCTAGAAGACAGCATCCCTAACTTTTCACACACAAGAATCATAGCTTCAAGGAACAAAGTCACCTCACCTTCCCTCTCTGAAATGCCTTATGCGGACTCTCAACTGGTGTATTGTCATGGGAAGTCATGCCTGTCACTGTGAGCCCTTGTAAGGCCAACCCTGCTATGTCTCCATTAGCACATGCCCCATTACTGTGTGGATGGCCATTTTGTGCTATTGCAGCTGATGGTGGTTTCCGTGTACCAGACACAGTCCTCCTGGTCTTGGCTGACTGAGGACGGTTGGAGCCTGATGCTTGGGGTGGGCTGGGTTGACGCTGTCCCTGAGGGATCTTTGGTAAAGATGGGGTTGTGGATTTCACACTGAAACATACCACTCTGAAGTTGTAACATGTTTGACAATCTGATGATAATACATAATCTTTCAGCACATAGCATTCAGTTGTCTGAAATGTACATGGCCTCTAGTCAAAATCCCTTGTTAAATATATCTTGGTCTTGAAAACAAAGTTCATAACCATTCATATATTGGGACTAAAACCTACTGATAGGTATCTAAAGATGTGTTTGGCACAGAAAAAAACTTAAACTTGATAGGTCATATTAGCACAGAAGAAGCTATCTGTCTCAGACATGTTACATCCTGGATTCATGAAAAGGTCAGATGTTCTGGTTGAATAATGATGTGATTATTACCTGTTTGCACGATTAAGCTTTCCTCTTCTTTCTCCAGCTAGATGAAAGAAAAGCGCACACTTCAATGTCAATAGGTAAAGTGAACAGACATCAAGGAAAAACGGAATTTCTTCTGGGTCAATTTAGTTTTCAGTTAACCAGTTTATCTTTATATTTAATGTCCAAAACCATACCCATGTCAAACAGTTGTATCTGTCAGCATGGTGGGGCAACACTACTGACTGTAGTATTTAACTGTTTAACACTAGATGTGTACAAGCTTTAATGAACAAAATACCGGGATACACTGTGAAAGAGTAATAACAGACATTCTGCTCCAGAAATCCCATACAACCAGCTAGTGCTCCATCAAACACTGTCATTACACATGTTCCCTGAGTTACAAAGATGTATTTTATTGTGTAACATTTAGACCTATCTCGTATTCATGGAAAACTCTCCACATGGTAACTTAGAGATCAGGGTTGTACTGTCAGCAAGGATAAATATTCATACAAGCAAGGGAGTGAAATATACGTCAGCAGTGTTCCAACCATACCACAATGGCCTGTTAAACATGGGTTGAAATCATCTCTGTACCATGTAAACCAATGACTGACAGTACTGGCAACGATCCAAAACACTATTGCCACCGCATTAGTGTTCACACACAACCTGACCACCTGCTAACATACTTTTTGAAGGCTGTTATGACAAGAAGACTGACAAGCATGAGGTACGAGGGCCCTGTTCTGACTCTGGATCCTCATCAAAATCACATTCCCATGGGTTGTTGGTTGGTTGGGTTGTAGCTTAATGCCGCACTCAGCTTAATGCCGCATATTCCAGCTATATGGCAGTGGTCTGTAAATAATCGGGTCGGGACCTGACAATCCAATGATCAACAGCATGAGCATCAATCTACGCAATTGGTGCTCATGATGTTGATCACTGGATTGTCTGGTCATCCCGATTCCGTTTATCACCTGAGACTCTTATGACAAGCATGGCTGAAGACCAATTTTGAACCCAGATCTTCATGGATCCTATCTAATTTTATTTGTATATCTGTTGCTGTATGATGCAAGGCAGGGCCTGATGATCAACACCACAGTCTGTGAAAGATGTCTTTATTACAAGTATTTTTTAAGGTTTAAGGATTAAATATCTTCCAAAATGGGCATGTATTCATGGCCTAATGATAAATGCTGAAGCAATGTGTGCTGAATGCTCTTGAGTGTCAAGTGTAGAGTTGTGACGATATATCGTTGTATCAATTATTGTGATACTTTTTCTGACAATAAATATATCGATACTTTTTTCTGTATCGTGATATGTATCGTTGACCTTTAAATTGTGAATTTTCACCAGAAATTGACGGTTATGTCAAAATTTACACTGTTTCTTGTTATCAAGATACACTTTTTAAAGAAAATAACTAAAGATAGCATATCGTGATATGCATCGTATCAAATCATATCGTTCTATGATATCGCGATACGTATCGGATCGTAAAATTTCTGTATCGTCACACCTCTAGTCAAGTGCACTAAAACATGTGAAGGCCAATCTTTGTGATAGCATTGATAATGGGATATTGCATATGGGGATAAAAATATCTCTATATCGAGTATATTCCACATTGTCACCTCCATCATCTAGTATATCTTTTGTGTCTCCTCTATCATCGAGTATATTTCACATTGTCACCTCCATCATCTAGTATACTTCTTGTGTCTTCTCTATCATCGAGTATATTTCACATTGTCACCTCCATCATCTAGTATATTTCTTGTGTCTCCTCTATCATCTAGTATATTTCAGGTGTCACCTTCATCATGTATTTTAGCACGACATTGTGTGATACTTAATTCTCATTGGCTGAGAGCTCATGAAAACCGTACTTAAATGGCAGTTTAAGGACCGTTGATTAAAGTGACCGATTCACCGCGTATGAATACATTGAACTCGTTGACCCTTTTGTTTGTAAACAAACATGTCGGACATCGGCGATTTCTACCTCGGCAGCCTCTGTGATGTTTTTGAAGTAAAAAGCAAATGGTTTGAAGAAGAATTATACCATCAACTTGTATATTTCAGATGCCTCTTCTACCATCAAGCATATTTCAGATGCCTCCTTTATCATATAGTATATTTCTTGTGTTTTCTCTATCTTCTAGTATATTTCACGTGTCACCTTCATCATCTAGTATATGTATTGTGTCACATTCAACATCTGGTATATTTATGTGTCGATTCATCATAGCTTATATTTCAGGTGTCACTCTCATTATCTAGTATATTTCAAGTGCAACCTCCATCATCTGGTGTATTTCATGTGCAACCTCCATCATCTAGTGTATTTCAAGTGCAACCTCATCATCTGGTGTATTTCATGTGCAAACTTCATCATCTAGTGTATTTCAAGTGCAACCTCCATCATCTAGTGTATTTCATGTGCAACCTCCATCATCTGGTGTATTTCAAGTGCAACCTCCATCATCTAGTGTATTTCATGTGCAACCTCCATCATCTAGTGTATTTCATGTGCAACCTCCATCATCTAGTGTATTTCATGTGCAACCTCCATCATCTAGTGTATTTCAAGTGCAACCTCATCATCTAGTGTATTTCATGTGCAAACTTCATCATCTAGTGTATTTCATGTGCAACCTCCATCATCTGGTGTATTTCAAGTGCAACCTCATCATCTAGTGTATTTCATGTGCAACCTCCATCATCTGGTGTATTTCATGTGCAACCTCAATGATCTAGTGTATTTCATGTGCAACCTAAATGATCTAGTGTATTTCATGTGCAACCTCAATGATCTAAGTATATATCAGGCATCACCTCCATCTAGTATATTTCATGCCATCTCAGTTGTGTAGCATATTTTCTCTTTGTTTCCTGCATGTATCATATGTGTTAAGAACAATCAACAAAAACAACAAAATCACATGCCCAGTGAATCACATGCATCAACAGTGTTAGCTATTGTTCACCTCAAACTTTACCATGCTAGCTCCTTCACAACTCTTCCTTTACTGTATTAATACCATGCAAATTCCTGCAAGATTTTGTGAACAGTGAACAAGCTGATTATATCATGTTCTATGAGAAGCGGATCACAACAACCATGCTGGGTGAAATATACAAAAAGCAACGTGCAACTGACAACTCTACCTTGGTAGCCTGTGAGGAAGGAAGAAACAAACAAAGTGAGAACATGGGGAGACAAGCATGCAAATAATGATGTTGGGTCAACTATCACAGTACAGCAAACATGCACTGTAGTTCACCTCACAATATTGTATGGCTACTTGAACACTACATACTGATAATACTGAGAATTTTCTGATCTTAAACAATGTGTTTACTTTTGAACGTGAACGGAATCACTCAGAACATTATCTCTAACACATGTAGTGGAAAGCACAAAAACATCTGCTCTTAATCAACTTGAATACATGGTTGTTTGGTCCAAGTGAACAAACCTTAGTAAAAGATCAACATCTCATGGCAAGTGTTATTCAGTGTGTGCAGTAACATGTACTTATCAAACGATGTGCCAAGAGGGAGATACAATATGAAAGAGTGACTTTCTCCTCTAACTTCACTTCCTTCATTTGCGTTGATCATTTTTATACAGTTACATCTTGCAAAGGAAAAAATAATGTTGAACACATTTACTAGCCCAAATAATGACAAACCGAAAGGATACCCCTAAAAAAAAGGCTACATTAACAGATAAAGTCTGAAATTCTACCATGTCTACTAGCCCTCACATTAGTTTGACATAATATGAACAGACCGCAAGGTTCCATCCCTTTAACAGAGAATATGATTTGTATCGATTCCTGATAACGTATATTATTAAAACAGACATTCTGAATAACTGAACAAATTTTCTGTGTCCTTACATGATTAACTACACAATTTAACCATGTAACCAGCAAGGAAACTGTTCTAGCTTCCTTAAGTTCCTATGACAATATGAGTGTGGACATGGTCTAACTGACTGCTACCAATATAGGGCTTCAACGAGTCCATCCCTGAAGGATGATCATTAAGCTCAGTTGCTGCCAGTATCCACATGATGTAAGTTGTAACTGTCTATCAAGCAGTTCAAAGGATACATGACGTAGGGCAGTTAGCTAATGCTCAAAATGCAAAATCTCCACCATAGTCATTTTGTAACTTACCACTTTGGGTGAGCTTTTTTGTCACCTTGGGATATCTGGCAAACTTGACAAAGTAGTAGGACTCATACTCCATAAGTATAGTCTCCAGATCAATATTGTCACACACTTCATATCGGCTCAGATCAATGTTTGTTTCCTTCCCTAGTGACTGGGCAGACTCCAAATATCTGTAAATCAATGCTGGAGAATCCATATCAATAACACCTACCATCAAAGAAATCATTCCAACCAATCATATTGATATTGTCGTGTAATATTATGTATCAATACCACTACATCATTGTCAGAAAACATGCGTTTTGGCATAAGTTTTTAGTTTGATTTGTACCTGTAACCCTACAGACTAAAACAAGCTGATCTTACTACACCAAAGGAAATTTTACTTTACTTGGACCAGTGGCTAAAATCAGAAACAGTATCCATACAGTTTGCCTTCCTAGCTGCACTGAAAAAATGCAGGTTTGGGGACTCTTTTTATAATCCAGGGATTGACCTTTATCTTGTAATGAACATCTTCTATATTTAAATTTTGGAAAAAAGGAACCATGCATCAAACTTCATATTTCAGCTGAGAACAGCCTTCCTTTAACGGATGACAGGAAAATATACAGCATTATATAACATTCACTATGATCTAAGTTTTCAATCACAGTGGCATTTATCCAAGGTATCTTACCCTTCTTCAGACAGGTAATGCAGGACAAGGATGAGCAGATTCTTCTTCCTTGTATCAGTTTTTACTTCATCCTACAAATGAATATCATCAGTAATTAGAGCACGCATGCCATCAGCATCACTGGGATGATTAGGTCCTACAAGATTACCATTAACCAAATCAGAGCAGAAAATAAGAACTGAAAATGATACCATGTGTTATACACTACCCCTAACTAAAATCAAAACATGTAGAAGAATGTCGAAATGCTTAACATGTTTAACACAACTCCCTAACCTTAAAATACACATGTATCAATTTTGGGTTTCAAATAGGTTCATATTCTATAATGTTTTAAACAGTGATATACAGTGTGGCCTGCACAATCTCATCAAAAGAGACTTGAGAAAGAAAGCTGACAACATTAACTCCACCAAAGACCTTCAGCGCGATATCAGTGGTGATCTAGGAATCACTTCTCAAGCGTACATTCAGAACCTCTATAGGTAAATTCCACATTGGATTCTGATAGTCTATATCTCCAAAGGATATATTGCCAAGTATTAGGTTAGTGGATTTAATATTTGACCTTCAGCGAGCAAGTATGACAAGTGCAAATATACTTCCAGGTTCGTGACGTCACACAGATGTTTGCTAACTTATGGCACATCAATGTATATCCTATGGATATTTTTCAGATCTGGTGGAGTCATAGACAGAATGTGAAAACAAATAGGATACTGCTTCATAATTCAGTGACTATAAGTGCCTTCTGGCATCTAATATTCTGAATCCTTTGTTCATAAAAAGTTGGGGGAAAACTAAAATCATTGGTGGTTCAATTTGGGAAAGGAAAGGCCATTCTACATGTGTTAGATAGCTAAAGGTATCACAATTGTTTTGATAATAGCAAAGAAATTATGTTGGTCACACTGCATATAAATGCATACCCCATCCCTACGATAAACTGCAATCACATATTTGAATATATTTCTTGATTTCTTTCAACCATTAACTTAAAACAAAATACAAACAGATCTTGTCAAAAAATATAAACTCATGAATATCTGTTTTCCCCAAATACTTGAATGGTAGTCAGACATGTCAACAAAATTTTCCAGGAAAACTCACTGCCTAGTTTTGTGATGCTGATAGAAGTAGGTTCCACTCAGTCTCTACACAATCATACATTCCAATACAATATAAAACCAGAAACCCACTTCACATAAATGAAATAGTAAATAATGGAGACATAACACTTTTAAGGAAAACAACTTCATAACTGGAACTTGCTCTTTCATCAAGTGAACACTTTCATCAGGCTACCAATATGTAATGTCTCTATTACTTCATCCATTGTAACCACAGAAAAACACCCATCAATATGAGAGAATTTATAAACATTTGCAGTTGAAGGGTCTTAATTCGGGTTCATAATCAATTACAGATGAAGAAAGAAGGCATGACATAATATTGTGGTACACTTTGAACAACATGAAACAACATTGAAATAAAACTGTGAGACTATATTCAAGCCATTACCCATCACTAGTTTTATGTTAAAGTTATGAGAACCAGTTTACATACCAAACACCCATCAATATGAGAGAATTTATAAACATTTGCAGTTGAAGGGTCTTAATTCGGGTTCATAATCAATTACAGATGAAGAAAGAAGGCATGACATAATATTGTGGTACACTTTGAACAACATGAAACAACATTGAAATAAAACTGTGAGACTATATTCAAGCCATTACCCATCACTAGTTTTATGTTAAAGTTATGAGAACCAGTTTACATACCATAAGTGAGAGGGTTGTTTTTATATCTGAAAGCACAGACCATGCTCGTGGTCTGGCAGTCATGCGAATGAGTGACCCCCTCTCAGGCTATTCACTTCAGTAGTACTACTTCTTTAAACGTGAATCCAAAATGTGAAAGTGACAGAAAGCAGTATTCCTTTTGACCAAATATTTGATACACATTTCAACAGCTGCAGCTGATAAACAAATTAATTATAACAATAAAATAATAGTATCTTAACGCTACTAACAATGTAATATCTTCTTTGATGGGCATTTAGAAGCTGAGTTGATGAAGAATGATGGCAATTTTTATGGATATACAACTTCTTTTATTCTGTGAAGGGCGACGTTTCGACATAGATTCTAATGTCCTTGTCAAGTAAGTGACAATGTAATAGTGAAACTCCCACGGACGTTATTTACTGCATAGTTACTGCAATGTTTTACACGACGATGCCCATGTTTATATCGCTAAAACCTGGTCTTTTACAACAGATTTCGTAACCTTTTTTCTTAAAAATATAAGATGTAGATCATAAAAGATTACCATGACTATATCCTGAGTAATGTCACGGTGAAATATAACATAAATATCATTTGATTTTATTCGTGCATTTACTTTATCAGCTGATCGTGATTTTTTTCAAAACTAATGTATCATTAGACAACACCGACGAAAGAGCAGCATGAACATCAGACACTCACTGCTTCTCTAGCCTGATTAGCAGTCCGAATGGCTTGATAACTCAGCTCTGACATATCGCATTCCGGCAAACTATCAAAAATGTCTTATAGATGATGAGGGCTGCTCGTCGCGAAGCTATACAAACATGGCCGCCGGCGAGATCTCGCGAGTGCGTTTCGCGAGATTTGTGTTATACTTTATGTTATTTTTCTTAACAAGGGATGCATTAGAAATATTGATACACCGGTCTGCAATATGATGATAATTATACTCAAGGGGATATCGAATAAACTTATAAAGAAAATTATTACGGTTGATACTGAAACTGAGATTTGATGCGCACCTGCGAAGCGAAGCATCAGTACAACAGATATAAATATTGCTCGCTCAGTTACGATTAGCTTTTCTTTATTATTTTATGAGTAAGTATGTGTAGCTGTATTATTTGACGTTTTCATTACTTTCCAAAGTGTATTCTTCAAGTTTGTTCTATAAATCCTGATAAACTGACCAGAATACTGACAGAACGTGTGACAAGAAAATTGGTTTTCATGAAAATTTGAAATAGTATACCCATTTATGCGAACAGACGCGAAAATGTATATGAAGAACAAAAATAGTACCCTATTGATTGAACATACTTTCTGTATTTTACAAGAATGTAGTTTTTATTTAAATGACAAAAGCAGATGATGTTATTTTTTTTTAAGATTTAAGGGTCTGTCTTTGTTGGCTCTTGGATTCATATTAAAATATCCAACCTTTCTAGTGACATAATGGCCCAAGGATTATTATTGACTTTGCAAGTAACTGCTAGACATACTTTTTGAGAACTGTTCAAAATGTAGTCTGGGTTCTTTAATACTAGTACATCATGACTTGGTTGATAGCATGTCAGTGTAAACCAATAACATGGATTGTTGTTTATTATGTCAATCAGGGACAATGGGGTAGCATAGTGGTTAAAGCATTTTCTTGAATAGGTATGTTTTCTTGTATGTGTGAAGCCCATTTCTGGTGACCCCTGCTGTGATCTTGCCGAAATAATGCTAAAAGCAGCGTAAAACTGAACTCAGTCACTCATTATGTCAATCACAGGATTATCTGATCCAGATTCAATTTATAAACAAACCCCAGTTATTTGGCTGGAATATTGCCAAGAGCAGCTGTAACAATCATACCATCAAGCTTATCTCGAATATCGTGGATAAGGGTTTAACACAAGGGTGGGAAAAGTTTGGGTAGCTAATGGTACAATATAGAGCCATAGACAAATCACAACATAAAATATCAGTTTTTTGTCATTTTGATTAAACCTCTCTGATTAACACTGCAGATACTCTACAATAATCAAAATTAAATTCAAACATTTTTATCATGTACATTGTTAGAACTATATTATTAGCTTGAAAATGAAGGGGTGCTTGCCATAATCCCAATGTAATATTTTACAAATTCTGGGAATCACTAGATTGAAATACTAAAGCATCAAACCTCATGTACTGCTTGCTTTCAAACGGTTATAATTAATCCATTCAAGTTCAATGAAAAAGGCAGGGCACAACAGAAATGGAATATGTATGACCTCAATGCCCTCTAACCTCGCACCTAATTCCACTGAAATTATTTTAAAGCATGAATGTATTGGCCTTTACTGTACTGAAGTTGTGAATGTGTAAAAATTAACAAAATTAAATGTGAAAGTTACCGTTTCAGGTTAATAAAATGTTCTTTCATTGCAATTGCTGCTTATATTTCATCAGTAAAATGACTAAATCATGGGTGCACATGGGATGCAAAATACATAGCCTTTCCCTTAAATAAAAGATTTGGCTGTAGTGGACATAATATATTTTGGAAAAATGCAATAAGAAAAGATTCATGCAGATTTTTCTTTTCTGACAAATATTGACTTGCTTGCACTTAACATGTTTTGAGTTAGCTTTATGGTGTCTAATGTAGAGCATAGTTCCTTGTTTAGAAAAATTGTTTCAATGGTTCCAGGGTTATGGACCAACCTAAACATACATGGCTTGACATTCTGCATATCCAACTTATGAAATCTTAAATAGCTTGCATGTTGCTGGCATTTATTATTACATGTTTGTCTGTATGTCCGTACATATAACCAAGAGGATCCTCCACATCCCATTTGGCCATGCTCCCTTTCACCTGTTGGATCACAGACATTCACAGTGGTCTATAGTTTGACTGGTAGTTGTAGAATGTAAAGCTATGCCACATTTGCAGTTGAAGTTGAATTTGTTTTGTGGGTGAATCCATAACCCTGAGTCCATGTCAGTGTCCCTTATGTTAGAAGTGACATCAGCCCAAGGACAAACCTCATCTACCTTTGACTTTCCGCTGGTCAGTGCAGCAGCAGGGATATGTCTGCCCTTGTTTAATTACCTAAGGCTATCAGTGGGTGCTGGTTCATGGTTATGGTAAGCAGTTTGATATTCCATATATTTTATTGCTAGCATGATCATGTATTAACATTTTCATACCTTTCAGTATCCTGTCTCTCAAGGTAACTAAGTGTTGACACAAATTTAGGCAGTTAACTCATAAATGCACTGAGGCACAATGTCTGCCTAGTTCTTTGACAATACTATTGAAAACCATAAAGAAACTCCATTGTGAAGCAAACATATTTATTTCTTTACACATCTGTATGGACCACTGAATATCCTTTAGCATCATGTAAGATGTGTTAGACATTTACTGTCACAGTTTCACTCTATTGACCAGTGTCCAGACCAGTGTCATTGTCTTTTCCAGAACTATGCAGATATTGTCTTAAGGCTGGGTAGTGGTTTATCTGATTTGATCAGAAATTTAGTTAACTTGACCATAAGATCAATTGAGTTGAGCTTATATCATGATGTGTATAGACTGTACCCATGCTCTCATGTGTAACAATACAGCTGTAATATGTTCTTCATGTATGTGCCAGTCAAGCTGGTCTGTCTTAATATCTTTGAACCGCATTATTTTCCTTTCCACCCAACTCTGTCTCTAATGCAAAAGCCCTAAATGAACCATGTCTAGATTTTCCTCAGAATCTGCCAACTTTCAGTGGCTCCTTTGCAATTTCAGTAGAGTTAATTGTTTCTATGCAAGTTGTACTGCTGGATGAAATATACTGATGGATGATATGCTGAGAGTATTTTGGTGTTTCTATCCAAGTTGTACTGCTGGATGAAATATACTGATGGATGATATGCTGAGAGTATTTTGGTGTTTCTATCCAAGTTGTACTGCTGGATGAAATATACTGATGGATGATATGCTTAGAGTATTTTGGTGTTTCTATTCAAGTTGTACTGCTGGATGAAATATACTGATGGATGATATGCTAAGAGTATTTTGGTGTTTCTATCCAAGTTGTACTGATGGATGAAATATACTGATGGATGATATGCTTAGAGTATTTTGGTGTTTCTATCCAAGTTGTACTGCTGGATGAAATATACTGATGGATGATATGCTAAGAGTATTTTGGTGTTTCTATCCAAGTTGTACTGCTGGATGAAATATACTGATGGATGATATGCTTAGAGTATTTTGGTGTTTCTATCCAAGTTGTACTGCTGGATTAAATATACTGATGGATGATATGCTGAGAGTATTTTGGTGTTTCTATTCAAGTTGTACTGCTGGATGAAATATACTGATGGATGATATGCTTAGAGTATTTTGGTGTTTCTATCCAAGTTGTACTGCTGGATGAAATATACTGATGGATGATATGCTTAGAGTATTTTGGTGTTTCTATCCAAGTTGTACTGCTGGATGAAATATACTGATGGATGATATGCTTAGAGTATTTTGGTGTTTCTATCCAAGTTGTACTGCTGGATGAAATATACTGATGGATGATATGCTTGAGAGTATTTTGGTGTTTCTATCAAGTTGTACTGCTGGATGAAATATACTGATGGATGATATGCTTAGAGTATTTTGGTGTTTCTATCCAAGTTGTACTGCTGGATTAAATATACTGATGGATGATATGCTGAGAGTATTTTGGTGTTTGTGGTATTGTCAGCACCATACCAGTGCTCACAGATTTCACCATCACAACTTTGGCGTTCTTCCCACCATGCGAATCCCCACATGGGTACAATGTTTGAAGCCCATTTCTGGTGTCCCCGCCATGATGTTGCTGGAATATTGCTAAAAGCGGCGTAAAACCAAAACTCAGTCAGGCAGTCTTCCCACCATGCCCTGAAATGCTTTTCAAAATGGTGTTGAACTTATAATATGTAAGCTTATGTTTGTTACAGTAATTCTTTTGCTTCATCTTCATCCTTGTGTGACATTTTGAGTCATGGGGAACATTTTCAGAGCTTTGTTGCTATATATTTCCCAAAGGTAGTTACAGCTGATTTTTCTTGAATGCAGTCTCAATGAAATCAGATCTTTACTTCCATTTAATGCCTCTTTACATGAAGAGGCGGTGGGGTAGCCTAATGGTTAAAGCGTCAGACCAGGTTCGATTCCCCACATGGGTACAATGTGTGAAGCCCATTTCTGATATCCCCCGCCGTGATATTGCTGGAATATTGCTAAAAGCGACATAAAGCCATACTCACTCAATCACTCACTCACTCACTCTTCACGTGACAATCTCAAAAGCCATCCACCAAATCTAAATGAAGAATGTATGTGTGTTTTTAAAATTCAAATTCGGCTTATAAAAAGTCCTGTGAAAAGTTTCAGTGCAATACATACCTTGTGAGGAAACCTTGAAAAGAATAAAGGATCACTTTGAATTTCATGTGTTCCCGTATTCGTTTCCATGAGTATATAAATATTGAATTTGTGCGTTGTTTAACCAATCAAATGCTGTCTTTCTAAATAGTAGGGTTGTTATGATTCACTCAAATATTTGGTGAATTGAACTGTAACCATTTATGTTTTGAGTTTGTTATTCATGATCATTAGAATCAAATATTCAAGAATTTTTTTAAATGAGTGTTTTACATTAATTTGAGTGGGGTTTTTTTTTATCAAAAAAGACATATGCAAAAAATGAATGTATCCAAGCTAGGCAGGATAATAGCCAAGACTGTGTGTCTACTTTGAAAGTAATCTGGTTATTGATCATTGTCATGATATGTTAACACTCTCAACATGTTTTTACACGTCAAAGAGGTTTTTATCCCCCGCAACGCGTTTTGTGGGGGGTATTAAAATGGACTCCGTACATGGATCTGGTGGTGTACTGGTGCCTTTTAGTAGTTTTGGAATTCTGAATTAAATATTTTTGGCGTTTCCATGGCAACAAGTTCGACTTTGACTGAAATTAGTGGTAGTGCTCTTTTCCGGAGCAGAACTCTAAAACCGTTCAATGTTTCTTCACCAAACTTGGCACATAGATTGGTCTGGTGGTGTGCTGGTGCCTTTTGGTAGTTTT